GGGGGGGGGGGTAAGTCTGCAATGTTCTCCTTCACCGTTGCTATGGTCTGTAATGGGGGCCTGTCTGTAAGGGGGGGGGGTGGGGAGCCGCCAAACCTCACACTTAAAACTTACACTCACTATTTTCTTCGAAAACATATGTGAGTTCCACAAAAATCATACACAACTGAAGTAATATTTCCATCTGATGTTACATTTTGATCTGGTGTACATGAACTTTTATCTAGATCAAGTGTAAAATTTCCAGCTGAAGATTCTTGTTCATTAGAATCTTCCCAATATATTTATCAGCATAGAACATACAGCTTCTATCTTCAGATACTAGAACATCGTCTTTACTAATGCCCGTCTCTCGACGTCGATGAGACTAATTAATAAAAAAAAGTTTATTTTTGGTTTTCTTTGTGAGTGTGATCACATAAAGAAATGTCAAGCAGTTTTCAATAAATGATAGATAAGAGATCATTTGTCCTCTTCGAAGATATATCTTTATGAAATACACTAGAACTTGTCATACATTTTAACATGCGCAGTGAAATTTTGTCCATAGATAGATTTAATAGTCATTAGAGGAGATTCTAAAAGTTTCAACGAAAACGAACAGCCGTTCACAATTGTGAGAATACAATAATTCAGTCTACTTAAAAATCGAATATCTAAAGAGAACATGCTCGTTTTTGGCGAAATTTTTAGAACTACCTAATGACCATTAAATCTATCTGTAGACAAAATTTCAGGTCAAAAACTCTCTGTTTTGGTTTTTTCGGAAATGTCTTGTTCTAAGTAAAAAATTCTAATAGAACGGTCGTAACTCATCATCCGTAGTCCATGAGCATGGATTTCTTTAGGTTTTTCGTAGTGTTGTACGGACCTACTCGTAACCATAATAGGAAGTCGAACCACATCCAACAGGGTGGATTCGTTTCCTCATATAATATCCAAGAGGAGAAAGATTTTTTTTTTCTTTGACACTTGAATAGTTTTAAAAGAAACTGTTTTGAAGAAGAATAAATAGATAGATGAAACAAACATAACATTTGAGTAGCAAAATTATAAGTTTTCTATAGAACGGATTTGTTCACTAATGCATCATCTCAACGAAAGACCAATGGGTACACTTACTTTTCAAATAAAAGACTGTGCTCTTGTTTAAAGCATAGATGGAATCGGTCTAGTTTTTCGACGACCGATACCGATACCGATCTGAAAAAATCAGACCAGACCGGACCGACCGGTCTACCGGCAAAAACCTAGTCTACCGATAAAGACCGATCTGTCGGTAATTACAGGTGGACTAGCCAGTCAGAAATCCCGATCAGTACCAGAATGCCTTTAGTATGTCAATCTATGATACGATGTGTGCAACACAAAAAATTGATAGAATTGTTTACATGGAACGTGTCCAAATTTGTTCTGTTTTATTTATTTTCATGAAGTTCCAACGAAACTTCATTATATATCCAGTGTCTGACTGCGATTAGAATCAATAAGAGCGTTGGATGAGTCTCTGTTGTAAAAAGCAGGAAAGTCGAAAAGTTTGACCGACAAACACCAGTAGACGGATGACAGACCGGTAACAGATTGGTAAAGGACCGGTAGAGACCGAAGGACCGGTAGACCGGCCGGTCTAAAGTCCGGACTGCTACCGGACCCGCTGGTTGCCGGTACCGGTTCCATCTATAGTTTAAAGAATGTGCTAACTTATCAGAAATATTGTTCGACATTTTTTTTGTATCATATCTCATTCTTACCAAACTTTCATGAGCAAGAACTGGACCACTAATTAATGCGATGACGATAACCCCTTTTGAATTTGTTCCAATACTATTGATTGATGATTGCATTGCATTTAATGCTAAAATAAATGAAAAGAAAAGTATTCTCTTTCTTATAAAATCTCGACAAACCATCTTGTAATGTTTCATATATTTTTGATGATGTGATTTGAAAATGAATACGTGAACAATGCATATTATTTGATTGAGGAATTAATGAAAATGTATCATAGACATTATCAGTTACATTAGGAAAATGACGAAATTGAGTATTCTCATTCTAAAAGAAAAAAACTCAATAAAAAAAACTGATTGTCGCTGTACTTTACCCATGTAGTGAAAACCGGATAAAAACCCACAGTTTACCGCGGTTTTATCGGTCCGGTTACCGGCTTCCATTACTGCAATTAATCGCGGTAAACCGCTACTTTTGTCCGGTTAACCGATCAGCCGGTCATTTTTCACGTTGGACTGCGGCAAAGCATCGGTTTTGATCATTTTACATGTAATTTTTATGTAACTCCAAATATGAAAAAAGTTGGCAAAAAAACCAGCTGTTTACCGCAGTTGTACCGTTCCGGTTACCGGCTCCCATCGCCGCAAATGACCGCGGTAAACCGCTATTTTACAAATATAACTTGATACAACCTTAAGTGGAGAATATGTTGAAAGAGATACAGCTGATCGAGGAAGATCTCTATTTGAAATAAAAAAAAGCATATGTTGAAGTGTAAATAAATTTAAAAAAAACACTTACAAATTGCTCCAAAGAAGAACGGGTGAGGAAAATACTTAATATTGACTTAACAATGGAATGATAATAAGCAATAAGGAAACCATGATGATCTTAAAAGAAGAAATCTTTGATCTATTAAAATGATGAAGACGAATATGATGTGATAAAGCAGATTCGTTTATTGTTTTCTTTTTTGCTTATTTATTTAATGCCTCTAACTCAAGAAAGATAAAAACCTATACCCATGCGTTCGACAACTTGATCCAATTCTATTTATACAAGTCATTCCTTAATATAGGCAACTAATATAAAAAACTTTGACATAAAAATGGTTAATTTTCTTTCTTCAATTTTATTTATATCTTCAAGTTAAAGTTTCTCTTTGCTTTGTTTCTATACTATCATATTTTGCATCAAATTTATGGCCAAATAGAGATATTACGGGACATAATGGAGGATCTGGGGTCTTCTAATATGTCGAGGACTTTACGAAAAAGTCTTATACGCCATTAGTATAGATGCTCATTAGACCCTCACACCGCTCCAGTTGTGTCCATTTCACAAAAAACATGAATCTGTCTGTGAGAAAAGAAAACAGACAATAATCAATAGAGAACAGAACGAGTAGGTAGCTGTTATCGGTCACGAGGTCAGAATGTCTTGTCACATATTGACCGATGCACTTGACATCATTAGATCAATAGAAATGAAGAAAAGTTGTCATGCCCTTATTATTGGCACACCATTCAATAGAATCAAACAATGCTTTTCTTCATCAATGGTTTTTTTTTCTTTAGTAGTCTTATTCACGACTACTTCAACAATCGATTACATACTTTCATTTCACATAAAAATGCATGTTTTGTCTACTTCGTTTTTGAGTTTATTACTATTATCATTTATTTGTATTAGCAGTGAATATTTACCATACGATTCAACATGTGATTGTACTTCAATATACTTGTGTAACTAAACGACGTAAACAAGCATACTTTCCTGGTCGAAGTACAATTGTAACTGAAAATGGTTTAAAGAAATCTTTATCCAATGTAGATAGAAATTGGGGAACGTGTATTGGTTATTAATAAAGAAAATAAATTAATTTATGAACCTATTGAAGGTTTTATTCATTTAAAACGAAATGGTTCATATAGTTTTTTTATTAATAAATATAGAAATTGATGAACATAGAAATATTACAACGTCTTTATTTATATCACCTAATCATTTAATATTCTTAGCAAATGATACAGAATTAAAAAGTGCTATATTTGCTAGTCAATTGCATTCAGATGATCATATAGAATATGTGTATAAAAATGAAATTATATTAGGTAAAATTCGAAAAATTTATTTAACAATAGAAGAAGGTTATTATGCACCATTAACACCATCAGATACAATTATCATTGATAATATTTTAGTATCGCATTATGCATCAGTTAACAATCATTATTTAACTCACAATGTTATGAAAATCTATCGATGATGGATTTATTTATTTGGACCAAATAAAAATAATGAAAATATTCATTGGATATTAAAATTAATTGAAAAACTAGTTCAATGGTGTATTTCAAATATTCGATTTTTAATCTTTTGAAATAAAGTTTCTAAAATATTTCAATGGAAGACAATCATTTTTAATTAAATAAGAGTGTGAATGGTAATATTTTATGATATCTATATCCATATTCTAATTCTTGAACCAATAAAAATGTACATGTCTGAATGTTGTATTTCATATGTTCTATTAAATATAAGATTGTGCAAAGATTTATAAAAACATGAACAAACTTACACTCATCAATAAGTGAGAATAGAAAAACAAAATACGTTAGATTTTTGTATAAAAATATTTGTCTTTACTTCTCTTTTCTATCTTAATATTCATATAAAAGAAATTTTAAAAAAAAACGAACAATGTCAGTAAATAAAATTGACTATTTATCTACATTGAATTACATGAGAAACATTGCAAACTACAATGTTGATTCACCTGATGGAAAGTGAAGAAATTCAAACGTTAATCATCGATTGATCAGTGAACTTACGAAAGAATGAGCTACTAAGTTATATGAGAATTATTTTTCTTTCAAGTCTTTTTATCAACTATACAGCATTGTGTATTCTTTGTTTGCATCCAATGTTGAAGACAGAAGTATATCATTTTATTTCGTGATTTACTATTTCATGTAAACGATGACATTTTAACTTGAAGAGATATAAAGTCAAATGGCTATATTGATTCAATAAACATCTCAACTTAGTGAATGAAGATCTTTTCTTTCCTATGAAGAATATGATAACATTTATGTTGAATTTTGACTATGAATAATCGAAAATTAGCTATCTAACGAACAATTTCGATACACAAAATTTTCATAGTACTTCTGTTATGGATCTGGATAATGGTGTAGATGAGGATATGGCGCCTACACTCTAGACTCACACTCGAATTCATTGAGTAAACCTGTCGATATTAAGTTTCTTTAGAAAAGTTTAAACATCATTGTAAGAACTTTTGGTCAATCCTAAGTAGATCTTTGATATTAACTAATTTTTTTTATTCGATATAGGAATTTTGATGTAGTTATTTCCTAAACATAGTTCATATTTTTATGAATAAACAATATACTATATTATTCTAAAGATATTGAAAGAAATAATGCAAACATTCAAAAATTAACTACATTATATCACATATCTGTCTAGGACCAATAGGAGGCAGTCTAAATTACTTGTCTGAAACATATAGATCGAAGTAGAAAGGCACTCTTTGAAGAATTTAGACTGATTTTGACCAAGATTGGCATTATCTAAAAAATGAACAATTCAACGATTCTTCTTTATTTTACTGATTAGTCTAGACAGTATGAACAGACCAAACGAACTAATCATGACAAGATGTGAATTCTTTCTGGGCTAATGTGTACGTTTAGTTACATCAAGACGAATTGTAAATCATTTTAGACGAGACCAGATAGCAATGCAAATATTTGAGATTAGTCATTGTTAGATGTCCTCCTTTATCTATTTATTGTTCGTACAAAAGTATATAAATGTTTTTGTGAAAATCTGTACAAATTAACTGACTTTTATCAAAGCAATACAGAATATAAATAAATATCATTGTGAATCATTTTCACTTTAATAATTTCAAAGTAAAATACAATAATTGATTACGAGCAATAAGGTGAGCGTACAAGATTCTATTTCCTTTTTTTTTTAATCATCTTTGCTCTAATGTGGAGGAAAAGAAAGATAAGAAAATTTTTATAATGTATCACTAAAGAATGATAATTCTCTTGCTTTTATAATTTAGAAATCATTTGAGATATTCAACGAAGTGTATGATGACGTCTCATCGCTGTTTTTTTGATTTATTACCTGCAGAATTATTACATATTTTATTTAGTTATTTTTCTGGACATGAAATTCTAATTAGTTTCTATGATCTTAGTGATTATATGAATGCTATTTTACAATCTTATTCTGCTTATA